AATAGGGTTGTGAAAAGATATATCTACCCAATATATCTAATATCTAGTAAAGCCAAACTAGTAATGACACTGCACCTAGATGAACTATGTTGAGAAAAAGCAAGGATGTTGGCTGATTTTAGATATTTTAGCTAGTACTCTAGAAACTGCATTTTTGGGACGGTATTTTTTTTGCAGCTTGTTGTAAAATAGAGTCGTTAAAAGATATATCTACTGAATATATCAAATGTCTAGTAAAGCCAAACTAGTAATGACACTGCACCGAGATGAACTATGTTAAGAAAAAGTAAGGATGTTGGTTAATTTCAGATATTTTAGCTAGTACTGTAGAAACTGCGTTTTTGGGAAGGTAGATCTTCCAATTGTAGAGTTGTCAAATAGAGTCATAAAAAAGTAAATCTACTGAATATATCAAATATCTAGTACAGCTGAACTAACTAAACTGTTATTATTATTATTATTATTATTATTATTATTGTTGATGGGAAATTGTGACAGAGGAATATATTTGCTGTTTTAATATCAAGAACACTTTTGTGTTTTTGTGTGTATACAGGACGTTATTGAATCAGGGAATCCGTGTGTCCACCACGACAAAGGATCCTAACTGACTTTACATGGGCACTGTTTCCGTGGTACTGGCACGTAATTTCAACCCATTACGTGCTGCCACCACGGAATGCGGTGTTAACCCTTATGCCTTGTTAAAAAAAAGTTACTTTCACCTTGTTAACTACAAGATTTGTAGTTTGACCTTTAAACTGGAATAAATTTAAGACAGATCAATATTTTTCCAAACTTTTTCCCCCAATTTCTTCATTAAGGGGTTCTTAATTGATTTATATCATGATTTAATGAATTACATTAATAATTAACCCTTCAGATGCCAGTTTTGATCATATACCACTAACGGCTTTTTTGAAAAATACACTATAAGTCAATATTCAAAAAAATTTTTTTGACTTTTTTTTATTATCAGTGTCACTGGCTTACCCATCATGATAATACGTGAGAAGATTGATTTTGGTGTAATATTACTTTTTTGTATAATGTCAGTTTGTCCAAAAAAAGTTACCTTCGCCTTGTTAACTACAAGATTTGTAGTTTGACCTTTAAACTTGAATACATTTATGAATGATGAATATTTCACCAAACTTTTTTCCCAGTTTCTTCATGAAGGGGTTCTTGATTGATTTATATCATGATTTAATAAATCACACTAATAATTAACCCTTTAAATGCCATTTTTGATCATATACCACAAACTACTTTTTTGAAAAATACACTATAAGTTAATATTCAAAAATATTTTTTAACTTGGTTTATTATCAGTATCACTTACCCATCATGATAATATCTGAGAAGATTGATTTTGGTGCATTATTACTTTTTGCATAATGTGAGATTGAACAAAAAAGTTACCTTCGCCTTGTTAACTACAAGATTTGTACCATAGGCCCAACAGACCTATCAGAATCTGTCGGGCCGGCCACACCCCCCGCCATTGGATGGTCTCTGGAGGAGGGAAGAGGCAATCGAAATCAGGAAGCGGGCAAGCGGCACCATCAGCCGGGATGAGGGGGCGTACACCTTCTCGCACACCTGGGATTCCCTCCTCCAGAGACCATAAAATGATGGGGGTGTGGCTGGCCCGACACTTGGATGACACTTCTGAGGGAGACTGGAGTCACAGTCAAAACTGTCAAGCAGGTAAAAGAAACATCTTTTACACTTTTTGGTCTGAAGATAAAAAAATACTGAACAAATAACGTGTATAATCATCATTATTAATATTTATCTCACATGTTTGTTGGCCAAAATTGGCCCTCAGTTACAATCAGGGAATTCCTTTTCACATGCCATCGATCAGTTGATGGGTGGGTATAAAAAGCAGCGATCACAGTGCGTAAAGATGCACAATGGCTTATTTGGCACTGTTAGAGGATGTGGTGGATGGGAGACTCTGGAGGGAGCGGATATTCAGGAACCAGCAAGACCTACTGACCAAAGATGAGTGGCTTATGAACCGGTTCCGACTGCTGCATGCAGTGCTGCTGGATCTCTGCACTGTGTTGGGCCTGGCGTTACCAAGAAGCATCCACAGGAACCAAGCTGTGCCGGTGCTGTGCTACACAATGTGGCACAGCTGAAAAACTTGCCACTACTGCTTGACACGGATGCTGGCCCCCGACCCCGACCTCTATCCCCAGGCATTCGAGTCAAATGCTGCTGCTGCTGCTGCGCCAGCATCTGGATGTGATGCATTGTTTATGAAAACAAGGCATATTTTAAGAAATCATCTGAGTCAAGACAATCAGATTGTTTGTCAAACAGCTAAGGCAACTGTGTCCCTCATTTAGAGTGTTTATTTCAGACAGTCACTGAAACTGTCAGCTCCAACCATCCCTCGGTTTTCTGTCTAAATAAATCACTGCAAATAGCTGTAACACCTTAATATCAGACTACTTCTTGACCTCTGAAACAGTCTGAGGTGGCAGCATTAACAGCAGCTGCCACTCCGCTGCATTGTCAGCCTTAGTAATGTCCTTATTGAGTCACCAAACAATATTGTCTTTCTGTTATCAACCTCCCCAACAAGAACTTCAACTTCACATTGTGTGAAGTTTCGTTTTTTATCTTTTAATGCTACGTTTGCGGTGCTCTCCTCTGTTCTCTTTCTTGTTAATGATAATAAATTCAGGGCGTTTCGCTGGCCATTTATAGGCGTCTATGGGTGGGGCAAGACGCTTGCTCACCTGCGCCACATTTCGAGTTGATTGTGATTTATAAAGGGAAACAGGCGTGGGACATGCGTGCGCACTGTGTTATAAATCAGGATATTTTTGTGCATAAGCACTTTCTGTGCTTTGTTCATACTTCACCTTTAGTCACCTTTCCTGCACACAGTTTTATAAATGAGGCCCCAGATCTCCCTGCTCATTTGCCGGCAAACAGCCCTTGGCTGACAAAGTTTGTGTCATCCCGGGGCTTTTTCGTCAGCTCAAGGGCTGTTGCTCCAACCACAAATTGTATCTCCTCATTTTTGTACACAATGCGTCCCACAGACACAAAGAGTAAAGGAGGGGATCGAGAAAGAGATCATCCCCCACTCTCTCTCTCTCTCTCTCTCTCTCTCAAACTCCAATCGAACAGTAACACTAAGCAGTGCTGATCAAATATAAACCAAGATTCTGTAACTGTGTTACCTATTTCTTGCCTAAAATGTTTTCAGAAACACATGCAGTGCACAAATCAATATTGTTTGTTCCCATCCAACCGCCATATTGCTTTCTGTGTCAAAACTATGAATGTATAAATGAATTTGGATACAGTGCTGAATGAAGATGGGACCACATTCATTCCTATGAAAGTTGCTCAGTCTGCCATGAAGCAAAAAAAAAGCTATATTTCTGCGATAGTTAATTACTGGAATGATTAACGCTGCTTCTGCAACATTGAGCAGGCACACTTTAATAATTCACCACCAGCTACTTCTGATTTAGCGCTCCACTAAATTGAATTGGGATAAAAAGATTTAATCATGCGGCTATCCTGGACTTACCAAATATTATCAGATCGAATGGAATAAATCCTGATAGCGGAATGAGTCATTTCCCTGGGGTTGTGGTGCTAAAAAAAAAAAATGTATCCACTGATTTACAGCTGTCTCTTTTACAATGTCAGTCTGAGGGAAAAAGTCTTTTAGGGCCCTTTGGCATCATGTTACAAGTAGGAAGTTGTAAATCCACTGTTTGGCCACTGTGAAGATGGGTTTCAAAGCCTGGTGCACTTCCTGGAGGCCTGGTCAAAACAGACAAGCTCGCTTTCTGTCACCCATCAACGGGAACATTAATTGGTCCTGTGTGTCGCAATTCATTCTGGTGGTTGTAGGTTTTCTCGGCGGCTGTGGCTCACAGATAGAGCAGGTCTTCCACTAATTGGAGGAACAGCGGTTTGATCCCCAGCTCTTCCACTCTGCATGTCAAAGTATCCTTGAGCAAGATACTGAACCCCAAATTGCTCCCAATGGCTGTTCCATGAGTGTGTGAGTGTGTTAAAAACTGAGTAGCAGGTGACACCTTGTATGGTAGCCTAGGCCACCAGTGTATGAATGTGTGTCTGAATGGGTGAATGTGACTTGTAGTGTAAAAAGCGCTTTGAGTGGTTGGATGACTAGAAAGGCGCTATACAAGTGCAGGTCCATTTACCATTTGCCATTTACCTCTTGAGCAAAAGCAAATGCCACAGTCCTTTTCCTTTGTTTTCTCTGATCATGTAGCACCACTATCAAAAGTATTTGCGTAGTATTTTCCCACTACATAGATAGCCCAGTTTTATGAAAAGACTTTATGAAAAGAAAATCTTTCCACCAGTGAAATACTACTTTAATTACAAATGTGTTAATTGGGGAACATGTTGACACCTGTAACAAATGGGTTTCATTGATACAAACTCAACAGTATATTTTACAGCATTATTATTATGTTATTCATTGGGAAAATATAATGAATGTGCAAATATAAGTGAATCAAAGTATAATAAAATTTAACTTGTGGCGTGAGTGAGTATGAGGTTTCTACTGGCTACAATAAACTCATAAATTACACGTTGCAGTAGCTTGTTACTTTTACAATCCCTGGACAATAGAACATGCATTCAGCAGTAATTGTGTTTTTTAGTGGTCAGTCAATAATTATTTGGCTTACTGCAAAGGTGCTTTATATGAAGGAGGATTAGGGCCATGTTAAAGAAAAAAAAATCTTAGATTCTCCTTCATAACCTTGTAATAAACAACTTTGTTGTAGAAATAATTCATGTTAATGGCAATAATAAATTGGGGGAAAAAAAACATTGTGAGACATTCAGGTGCAGAGAGAACTTCATGCTGTCTCCACATGGTCAAAAGTCTCAATGTTGTTCATGACCTTTGTTTCACACTTTACTGTTAAATGTTGTGAAACCATGTTGTGACAGTTTTACGGAAGTGAAAGCAGACTTGCCTGTTCTGTTTTGAGCTGCTTCTCCACCAGCTGAGGAATCATGGCATAACGGTCAATGTTCCATGGCAGTGACACATTGACATATTCCATGTCTTTCGTCTGGAAAAAGTTATTCACTCCTGAGGAGGAAATGAAGCAAAACTGTTACTGTAATAATACTTGATTTCTCTTGTAGTTTCAAGCCAAAACAGGCTGTTCTGTTGCTCTTGTAGATCCATGTTAGGTGTTTTTTTTAATTTATTTTTAGGGACCTCGGCCGAAGGACCACCAAGGCACACTAAAATGGCCGCTGCGGCCTGTAGGAATGACGTAGAAAGATCAAACCAAAACTGCCGTGTTCGTCTCATCGAGACCTACAAATCACGTGCTCGCACCTCTGACCTAAACCCAACAGGAAGTGAGCTATTTCCCTTTCAATGTAAGATTTCACCTCAAAAATGTTCTTTTTAAAAATTCCTTAAAAAATCAACTCCTCCTACACCGTTTATTATATCGGCTTCAAACTCACACACATGACAGATCAACTCGTCCTAATCAGATATTCTGTATAACTTTGTCATTACTCGAATGGTTTGGATTTTATGGCGTCTTCCAGGCGATGTCTTACAAAACCTCCTGACTGGCTTGTTCGTCTTATCAAGACCTACAAATCACGTGCTGTTACCACTGACCTAAATCCAACAGGAAGTGAGCTATTTGCCCTTTCAAAGTAAGATGTCATTTTTCACAAATTCTCTCTCTCAAAAAATATTTCCTCCTACACCATTTATCCTATTGGTTTCAAACTCACACACATGACAGACCAAGCCCTGCTAAACAACTTTGTCATTACTCGAACACTTTGGATTTTATGCCGTGTTTAAGGTGACATGTCACAAAACCTCTTGACAATTTTCGTGCCACATAGACACAGTAAAATGGCTGCTGCAGCCCGTACGAATGCTGTAGAAAGATCAAACCAAAACTGGCTTCTTCATTTCCTTGAGACCGACAAATCACTCATTTACACCACTGACCTAAATCCAACAAGAAATGAGCTAGTGCCTCTGAAAGTTACATGAGCAAATGTCTCAGCTGTGAGTTAGACATTGTAAACTTGCGACTAAGATCGGATAAAATACACATACACATAAAAGCTAATTATGTCTGCGTTCATAATGAGTTTATGTATCTGGTGATGTCTTCAGATTGACAGATCTGACCCACAGTTTGGGAACTGGAAGCACTAGTTCGAGAAATTTTCAACCCATTTTAAAGTGCTTGCCCTCACACCCTATCTCTCAGTCAACTTCAGGCTGTCATTAATTAGCATAACAATGGCTTCACTCTGACAGACACAGGCCTGTGTGTGTGTGTGTGTGTGTGTGTGTGTGTGTGTGTGTGTGTGTGTGTGTGTGTGGTCACACACACCTGACAGGATAACATTGACCAAACTGATCAGCTCATGTGTCTCATTCCTACATTTTCCTAAATAAATGCCTGATAGCAAAAACATGTAAATGCAAAATTTCCAGGTCAAACTCTTTTGCCTCATTTAGAATCTGAATCAAATCTGTAGCTAAAACTGTGCTGCAGCAGTACACGATCAAATACATGTAGTCCTGCTCAGTTTCTCCACTGAATTTAACTAGCGTCTGCCTGCTGTTACATCAGGAAAGTATACACATCTTTGAGGAAATGTTACACTCCAAAATGACAAGCTCCTTTGTTTAATCACCACTTTAGTCTTTGTAAAAATGGTTTTCTTTTATTATTTACTCTTCTTTATAATTCATGTTTTGTCCATGTTAATATTTGTAATCCTGTTAAAATGTATATTATGCATTTATATATTTATATACTTACATCACAATGTGTTACACAACAAAGCAGGAGTACTGTCACCACAGACCTTTGTTTTTTATAGTATATGGGGAACACTTCATTTCTTAACAGTATGACAGACACCATGTTGCTGTTAACATTATATAATTACTTAATCATGACCGTGTATTTCATTTCAATGTGGATGTTTTGGACAAGACATTTGGTTTCCATAGCTGACATATCACAGGTACATTTTAGTTAATACATCGGTTGAAAATTAAATACATATTGTAATGTACTGTAATATAAAGTCCCTCTATTGCCAGAAATGACCTTGCGTTCTCTTGACATTGCTTGTTTTATCGACACTATCTATGTGAGCTGGAGGCCGACAGCGAGAGCCAGAGGTCCCGTTCATTGCTGCTTGCAGCTTTAATTTTTTATGAATTTTGAGCTGCAGTGATTGATATTTTTGTGTCTAACATGGACCAAATCATTATGTGTAATGTTAAACTTCACAGAGAGCTTTAGACCTGCATGGGAAATCAAATGGATATACTCTGCTGTCTTGTAGGAAATTGCCAGTACTTAAGGTACTTGTTTTGGTCAAGAAGGGATCTCTGGGGAGTAAAAATCCATTTGACCAGTTTCTCATCAGTTGTTGGCTACCAATGCCCAAATTAATTTTGTAAACAGTCTCCCCTTGGTTAAATTAATTGACCTATTGTCACTAACTGTAAGACATTACCATATTCATATTTATATTCCACAATACTGTATGTGTGCATTGTTGTAAAGTTACCATACTGATAGTTGATTAACCCATGACAAAGTCCCAAAGGAAAACTTTGCTGTTAAGCTGCTAGTTAAGCTGTTGACCTGCAACACATTCTTAAAGCTAATTTATAATTCCATTACGCATGAAAATAGATATGTCACTTTCAAGCCTTATAAATGTCACTGCTCTTTTACTTTTATGCATCCTTTATGATGGCATAGATACAGACGATACAGGATTAGGGGCGGCTGTGGCTCAGAGGTAGAGCGGGTCGTCCACCAATCGAAAGATCAGTGGTTCGATCCTGGGCTCCTCCAGGCTGCACGTCAAAGTATCCTTGAGCAAGATACTGAACCCCAAATTTCTCCCAATGGCTGTTCCATCGGTGTGTGAGTGTGTTAAAACTGAGTAGCAGGTGGCACCTTGTATGGTAGCCTCGGCCACCAGTGTATGAATGTGTGTGTGAATGGGTGAATGTGACTCGTAGTGTAAAAAGCGCTTTCAGTGGTCACTAGATGACTAGAAAGGCGCTATACAAATGCAGGTCCATTTTCAATAGATCAGTGGATCCCAACTGGTGGGTCCTGGTCCAAAATGGGCCGCAGGTCCATTCTGAATGAACTATAAGTGACTCACAAACGTGTCGTTTGTTTATTTTATATAAAATATACTTTATTTTGAAGTACAGTGAATTTCCGGCACAGAGCTTTTATTTTGAAGTGCCACTTCCTGTTGTAGGTTGAGTGACTAGTGGACAGCTACTTGACACAAACAGCAAACTAGCTCAATGATATGGCCAAACTTAGTATGACGCTTAATATATGAAACTTAGATTTCATGTCGCAACTCAAACGGGAACAAAAGATAATATTGCTCTCCCCATTTACTGCCATTCATATTTTTTCCGATCTAAGGTCCCATGAGCTCTACCGGAGGGGGTGTGACTTCGGCACTCTATTACCTTTGTTAAATGTTGCTGTCGTCCCTGGTTTTATATGAGAAGAGGAAAAGATCGATAGACGCTAGGCTAATTTATACAATGTAAAATGCCATAGACTTGTGCTAATAACGTTAGCATGTTGTATTGGTGGGGGAAATGTGTCCAGATAAAGACAAGTGTTTGTCTGTTAGTTCTGCAATTTATAATGAAGCCAGTTTGTGTACTTGTGTTTGGAATTGTCTCTATTAAGCCATATTTAATGTGTGTTTTCAATCAACTAAACTTTACAGCACTTAACAGAGTCCTCCACCGCCTACTAGTGTTTTGGAGGTGTAACTGCAGAGTGACACAGACACCACCACAGAAGTAAAAAATAACGTGCAGATTTTTTTTCCCATGACTAATTGATTAGTTGAAGATTATGTACCACTTTAGTCGACCAAGATTTTCTTTGGTTGACTACAGCCCTAGATATTTCTAGTAATATTTAAATCAGTATAAATACTCAGTAGGCTACATTATGTCTGTGTATAGTATTGTGAATAAGTTTCACCTTAAACATAATGTTACAGAAAGTGTTTTTCTATAGGGGGCTAACTCAAATAGCTCCAATTCAAAGAGTGCTGGAGAGCCTAGTGATAAAGTAAAATACTTCCAACAGCTATCGTGAAATACAAGGCCAGTTCATTAAATCCTACAGGCTATGACATTTTGTAAACGCTCTGTATTCTGGTACATATTTACATACAAAACAAGATATAGGCTACTTCATTCTAGTTCCTGGGCTTCACCTGCAATTATTGAGTCACTGTGAAGTAAGGCAAGCACAGCATTTGCATAATTTGGTTGCTCTTTGGAGAATTTATTCACGTATTAACGCCTGGCAGAGCATTTTCCCCCAAAAAAGCTCCTCGTTTGCAAGGAGAAAAACACTTAATGTAAACAGATGGCATAAATACAGGAAAAAGCAGAATGTGCCAACCATGAGACCACAAAAATAGAGAGGATTTGAAAAATATAAGTTTAACAGACATTTCCAGCATGCCTCTAAAGAATGAAAACAATTAAATAAGTATTGCAACAGTATTGCTTTTATGTTAAATACTTTTTATTTGTTTTAGTTTTTGGTTTGTGCCTTGGGTAGCAGAGTACCAGGAAGGAGGGAAGGAACCCAGGCTGTAGGCTTGGCCCACACCAGGGACCCACAGTCCCCTGTGGCCCACATACCTCTGGGTACTGGATGCCTAAGCGAGGCAGAAGAGGAAGCCCATCATTTCTGGACAGCCTGATACCCCCAACCCCCAAGGAACACTGCACATAGCATCGCAGGGGGACATGGGACATTAGCATGTCTAATGCAGTCAGCACAGAGACGAGGACAGCCATGCAAGACTCATACGGGCCTGACGGGTTCATCACTCTGACACTGGTGGATCAGAGAAGGAGGGGGAGGCACAAACATGGAGGAAACAGCAGATTCTTGAAGTCATAGGGCTTATACGCTGTGCAGCACCAGAAACAGTATGTGATAATGATAAGGAAAGAAAAAAATGGCAAAATTTGTTATAAATCGGGAGAATTGCGGGAGAATTGTGACTTTGGGACAAACCAGGAAAGAGCAATGAAAATCAGCAAGGTTGGCAAGTATGATAAAAGGTGTATTTTCAGAATGAAGTGCTTTACTCTGGACATGGGCTTTATGTAAAGTTATGGTAAGAGTGTGCAGTATTTTTTATTTTACAAACTTGAAACTGATTTTAGTTAAATTACCATTTTTACACCATTCAGGCACATGCTGATGGGTGTGTAATGTATGTGTGTGCGTGTATGTGTGTGCGTGTGTGTGTGTGTGTGTGGGGGGGGGGGGGGGGGGGGGGGGGGGGGGGGGGGGGGGGGGGGGGGGGGGGGCATTCAGGATAGGGCATCAGTCCCACAGTGTCACAGTGGCGTTAAGTCAAAAGATTAAGGGGGTTTGGGGGCCTTAAATTCATCACCATATTCTGTCAATATCACTAATGTTTTTTCATAACTAAACAGATTTGACTGCCTTTTTACTTTGACTATGACTTTTTTCCACATTACCCTGCACAGATAAACAGGTTGAAGTGTCACTCACCCATCACATCAAGGTCCACCTTGAAGTTGATAAAGTGGGTGTGGATGTTGCCCAGCACCTTCTCCGCTACCTGGTGTCCGTATTTCAGACTACCATCTACCAGGTAAGTAGCGGAGATGTAGCCGGTGGCGTGCACCTTGGCCTCCACTGAGCCGCTCTGATAGAAGATGAAATCCCACATGTAGTCATAGTTCCCTATAGCCGTGATCGTTCTGAACACCAGGGCGCTGTTTACCATCCCGCCGTAACTATTGTGGAAAAAGTCAGAGAAATGCCTTCGCAGGGGTTGACCCATGTTGTGCTCAAAGATGCATATTGAATTCCTAAATCTGATCGGGGCTGGAACATCGATGTAGCGGTATGTGTCCACATAGGTGGCTTCGTGGGGGCAATCCACGCCACGGACCAGTTCGTGTGCGAAGCGCCCTATCCCGATGCTGGAGTCCAGAAACTTGGTCATCATCATCCCCGGGGTCATTGATCCGTACACCGACATGGCCTCCTGCACGCTCAGCTCGTAGAGTATCCTCTCACCTTTAAAACGTACATCAAACGCCCTCATGCCTGTTAGAGAGCTGAGCCCGAAGGCGAAGCTCCAGTCCAGGTACAGGACATGGTTGTCGCTGATACTGTAGCGCTTCCCCTCTGCGTAAAACAGCTGTGGGCCGATCTGCAGAGGCTTCTGCTTGGGTTTCAATGAACCATAGTCTGGCAGCTCCTTGTAAACTATTTTCTTAATAGTTCCCGCGTCATATTTCTGTTTAAGTTCTTCTACGGTGTCGAAGTATTGGCCATTATAAACCAGTCGCTCCACTTTCCAATCAGACGCGTTTAAGCTCTCGTGGTTTACCAGTACCTCAAAGCCCACCGGGTTGATGTACATGCCGCTCACATCCCTGTAGAAAGCTATCCAGGTCTTTCTGTCCCCGGATTGGACTCCACGGGGCATCTGCTCGAACGCGTTCACAGTCTTGTCCTTATCCACGTCGAAGCTCTCTTTCATGAGCCTCCCCAACTTAGAGAAGACTCCATCCAGAAATTTGAAAAGCAAATGGTATTCCCCAATAGTGACCGTGCGCGCGGTGATAGGAAGCTCCGTCTTGTACCTCTCCGTGGTGACATCTCTGTGGTATGTCGGGTTGGGAAGAGGCCCCACTACATACTCCTTAATGTAGCCTCGGGCGCCGTGGAAGACCACCACCGTCGCCTCTCTCACTGGTTTGATGCCTTTCTCATCCAAGTAAGCCAGCGCGTCCGCCTTCTTGGGCAAAGAGAGATCTATTAAAAACAAGAAATTTTCAGATGGCTTGGTGATCTGACTGGTGGATATGTCCAAGTCTTTCTGCTTGAGCATGTACTGCTGGACCTGCAGGTACTCATCCCGGGTGAGGTCAGCGAACACGAGGCTGCGCTTGTCGTGCTTGCCCCTCAGCGGGTGGACACGCTGAGCGGAGCATTTGGGTGCCCTGGTGGAGTGGATGCCGATCAGGACAATGTTGAGAATGATGGAGACGAGGACAAAGAGGATGAGCGCCCATTTCACTAGAGAGTTCATCCTGCGCTCTACCATTACGCACGGGCTTGGAGAAAAGGAGAAGATCAATGAGCGATGCTATGTGCAAGCGGTCATATGAGCATGGAAAGGCGCGCCCCTCAACTCCCACGTCTCTCTGCATGGATCCCACAACCCCCCGCCCATCCCCTTCCTCTCAGAATGAAGTTAAGGAGCTACTGTTTCATGCAGCTTCTGTTCAGCTTTACGCATGTTGTTAAAACATCATACCAGTGGGTGGTGGTGGAAGAAGTATTCAGATCTTTTACTTAAGTAAAAGTAGTAATACTATAATGTAGAAACACTCTGTTACAAGTCAAAGTCCTGCATTTAAACTTAGTTAAGCAAAAGTACACAAGTATTCGCATGAAAATTAAAGTACCAAAAGTAGAAGTACTCATTCAGACAGGTTCATCTCAGAATAATATATTTTACATTACTGCATTATGGTTATTGATTTAATGTGTTCGTTGCTTTAATGTGGCAGCTGGTAAGGATGGAGCTCATTTTAGTTACTTAGTATACTCCTAGGTGGCTTATAAATGCATATAATTTATCAGTTGATTTATGTTTTGTATTAATAATCTTAATCTGTAAAGTAACTGGAGAGTAAAGCTGTCAGATAAATGTAGCGGAGTACATCTGCCTCAGAATGTAGGGGCTTAGAAACAGAAAGTAGCTTAACATGGCAATACTTGAGTAAAATGCAAGTACCGCAAAATTTTACTTAAAGGGTAACTTAGTAGTTTTTGTTTTTTAACTGAACCCTATTTTCCCATGTTTTTGTGTCTAAGTGACTTATCGGAAACATTTTTTTTTTAATTTGGTGGAGTACTGAGTGAAACAGGCTGCAATGTAATCCCTGAGGGCAATCGTTCACTGTCAAATTAGGTGCTATTAAAGTGCTTGTTTTTACCATTGACATGTTCAGATTGTTATTCTAAGTGTCCGACAACATTATAGAAGAGGTCCCTGCCTTTTTGTGAAAGAATAAGATCCTTTTGGATAAACCAGAAACTGCCCTGAAATCGCTATCATTAAACCCACCAAACTCCATTTTAATAAGCAATTCAGTAAGTAATTTCATAATCTTAAAACACACTTAATTCAAAGTTGACAGAAGCAAAATAAAACTCACAAAAGCCATCTTGGTTCATCTCTACATTGTTATAACAATCACCAACTTTGCTTTGTTTGTAATAAATCCCTTAATTCACCCACTTCTATGTGAAATTATGCTGCCTCTACACACGCTTAAGTTACTGTTTATTTTAATGGAGTCTGGTGTGTTAAGTGATGGTGATTTCAGAGCTGTTTCTGGGTAAATGAAAATTAAATTCAGTTTTATTTATAAATCCCAATATCACAAATCACAATTTGCCTCAGAGGGCTTTACCGCTACATCATCCCTCTGTCCTTTGGACCCTCACAGCGAATAAGGAAAAACTCCCCCAAAAAAACCTTCAATGGGGAAAAAATGGTAGAAACCTCAGGAAGAGCAACTGAGGAGGGATCCCTCTTCCAGGACGGACAGAGGTGCAATAGATGTCGTGTGTATAGAACAGACTAACATAATAAATCCATATGACAAAATTATATGTAGAGGGAGAGACAGAGAGAGATATACAGCAAACAGTAAGGACAATAGCTACAATAACATTAATTTTAGTAACAATATTGTAATTACAGTAGTATTTTGGTAGTATATGTGTTTAAAGTATATATATATATATTAATATATGACAGCATGTGACAATAATAATCATATGCGTATAATACTAGTAGAAGTATGATAATAGTAACAGCAGCAGTAGGAGGCATCAGGCAGGACCACGGCAGCAGCGCAGTATGACCCACTATCCAGGCGTAGCCGCGATTTGAGGGAACCTGCAAAACAGTGGAGCACAAAGTCTCTGGAGAAGAAGCTGAGTTAGTGACATGCAGTAATAGAACATGAATGTTAGCAAATGAAGATGAACCAGCATTTCTGAGTCTGAGAGCAAGAGAAAGAAGGGGCTCTGTTTATCAAAGGAGGTCCCCCGTCAGACTAGACCTATATCAGCCTAACAAGGGACTGGACCAAGGCAAGCCTGAGCCAGCCCCAACTATAGGCTTTATCAAAAGGTAAAATCTTAAATGTACGCTTAAATTTGGAGATGGTGTCTGCCTCCCGGACCGCAACAGGAAGATGATTCCACAGGAGAGGAGCCTGATAGCTGAAGGCTCTGGCTCCCGTTCTACTTTTACTCTTAATCAAAAAGGTGTATCTCTGTAAGAATCCTTTCCATAATGTTGACACTTAGAATAACAATCTGAGTCTGTCAGTGGCAAAGACAAGCACTATTAGTGGACGTAAGATCAATGCTCACTGCAGCAGCTCTTCCACGCTGCTGACTGCAGGTTGTTCCCATTCATAATTTAGACACAAAAATATGGTAAAATAGGGTTCAGATTGGATAATATCAAAGCCACCCTGCAGTTCTTGAGTAAATGTACTTAGTTCCATTCCACCACTGCAGGTAACCATTGTGATTCGACTTTCTAAAGATTGTGTTAGCATGTGTTAGCATACTTCAAACTTAAATCAAGCAAAATCCAAAAATTTCTTTTCTGAGCATTTCAAAATTTTAAAATGTTTTCATTATATAAATGTTGAGCTATCATTTCTGAAAATTGTATCTCCCTATAGTTTGAATGTTGTTTCAGGGCCTTTTTCACACTGCTAGGTAATTCCAATCCAATCACCAGAAAAAATATGTATAATACTATGTAGCAAATATGTTGAAACTTTACATTTCAGCAATGCTGTGGTTAACTTGTGGTTAGGTTTAGGCACAAAAAACACTTGGTTATGTTTTGGAAACAATCGTGTTTTGGGTGAAAATACACAGTTTTGAAAACAGTAATGTCTCAGTAAAACAGCTGTTTTTCTTGGCACTATCCCTGGTCGGGAAACAGTGAAAAGTTGCTGAAACACAATCATTTGTGTTGTGTGTTGGTTTAGAACAGTGGTCTGCAGCTTGGCAGGCGTCTCACCTGGGTGTCACACCATCCATCATCCTCTTTTCCTCCACATGACAAAGTCCACCAATTTACTACGTCACTTTAGAAACATTGATATGATATCTGAGAAACACACAAATGTAATGTATCCGTGGTTTGCAGAAACATTCAGTTTCAGTTTATTATTCAATAATAATTTCAGTTTATTATTCAATAATAATAATAATAATAATAATAATACATTTTATTTATAGGCGCCTTTCACGACATTCAAGGTCACCTTACTAGCAAAGATAGAGAAAATGACAGCAGATTAGTCAACAAGGTAAGGAATAAAGTAAAATAATATATACAAATAAATAATAAAGTTAAATAACATAACAACAAATAAATATTCAGCAAAGCTAGTTTACAGTAAAAAAAAATTGTCTAAAACAAGAGGAAAAAGAGAAAACAGAATAGAAAGGGTGATGTGTGCCATCTTAACTCTTGTAAGAAAATTTGATATAATTGAATTGGTCTATAAAGCGTTGACAAATTCAGTAAATTTTTCCTTGTTTTTCAAAGAAAATTTAATTTCCTGTAGTTCCAAGTGTTTCATTACATCCTTCATTAGATTTGAGTGTGTTGGTGCAGTTGTCTGTTTCCAGTTGAGTAAGATCAACCTCTGCGCCAGGAGGCTGACAAATGATACCACAATATGTTCCATGTTGTTTTTTACTTTGTTAGAGTCTGTTATTCCTTGAACCCCCATCAAAGGATCTGAGTCAATAGGGGTTTGTATAATTCTTGGTAAGATCTGAAAAATATTGCTCAAATAATATGATATCCTCGATAAGCTCCAGAACATATAGGCTAATGAAGCCAGAGGAAGCCAATAGCATTCACATGAAGGATCTATATCTCTGGAACTATCCTATTGAGTTTTGTTTTGACCAGTGTAAGCAATGTATTACCTTAAACTGCAGGAAGCCATGTCTTGCACATACTGAAGAGTTGTGAATCTGCCTGCATGGAGACATTTTTTTAAATTCACTTAGTTTATTGTTGAAATAAAAAAAATGAAAACACCAGATATTAATCAACATTTAAAAACGCAACATGTCTATGTCATAAATCGTCAGATATTATCTCTGTAGTCCTCCTTTGGGGCGTTTTCAAAAGTTGTACTGAGTGACACAACACTGTTGACTCAGCAGAGCCTTGTATGCAACAGTGTGGTTTTGCATTTTTCACATGGAGCTGAAGTGTAACCCTTTCAGTCTCAGGCCAAAAAGCATGTTTTTGTACTACCTCCAATTATCTGTGTCTCACAATCTATTATTAACTTCAAATGTAGATATATTGCTCCTTATTTTTTTCAGCATTAACAGGGTTATTTTTTAACAAAGAAATGTTTTATGTGAACAGCTGCATCAATGATTTATGATGACATAACAAAAACAGAACTAACCAGTAAAATCCATCTGCTTATGGTGAAAATAATGGCTTTACAGGAGCTTTTTACCAATAAGTAAATCTTCACTCAAAGTAACTTCTCCTCAGCTTCTACCCAACTCAAACCCCTGTCACCAACTCACTTCATAAGCAGTGGCGTGCACAGACATTTTGGGGGGCAGGTGCTCAGTGAAAAATAAGGGCACCTTGTGTGGCATGTGGAACCACCGGCTGCCTTATTATAGCAGTGTGAGATTTAGGTAAAAAAACCCAAAAACATTACAGGCACATGTTGTACATACTACATAGCTGTGTTCTGCAGACAAATTTTAATAGGCTATCTGTCATTGTCAAAGTTTTAATAATGGAATTTTAAGGTAGATTACTGCAAGTATTTAACGTAGAAATAACTTATGGTTGGTACAAAATAATATAATCAGCTAATATAACTTCATGCCTGATTTAGTACCGCCAAACCACTTTGTGCAGTTAAAATAAATCATGGACAGCTTTTAAGATATTTCAATAAAATTAGAGGAACAGTTCAACTTTAAAATCTGAGCTTTAAAAGGCCCTAAACAGTTAACATGACTCTGGTCTTGACTCTGACCTGTCTTCTTCATCAATGG